CGTAACCACATTCCTTCAGTTCACTTCTTCTATTGCTGAATTTGAATTTAAATTTATCAAATAACGTAATTTTACATTTCGATAAGAGTAAATATCGCAAGAGGCAAATACGAGAATACTGTAAGAATCTTTGACAAATTGTTCGAAGATAGAATTCATATTTCTATTTACAGGGCCGGCTTAGATAGCGAGGTAACGAGGCAACAGCTTGAGGCGCAATTCGAAAAGAGCGCCAAAATATAAAATTCTTTTTTTCTATGCTCTGAGACATGAAACGTGAAATTTGCTGCAGTGAAGGCTCGTGAGCAACAATTTTAATTTTTCATATTATGTTATTCTACTGAATTTAACAGTATCTATCAGTTTTCTGTAATTTTATTCAAGTGATATAAATAAACTTTGTATTAGTTAAGTTACAATAATTCTTCCTTAATCTTATTTATGTTTGGAGGGGTGAATAGGAGGGCGCAGAAAATGGAAAATAGCTCGCTTTGAAAAAGCCCTTGAGCCGGCCCTGTCTATTTAATAAGAACAAGTGTTAGTTTCTATGATACATACTAATTCTCTCGTCAAAAATTATTTTCTACACGGTGGAGTCGTTTGAAAAGTAATTTTATGTTAATAACTGTGTTCCCTTTGTTCGCTACTTTTATTGCTGAATTTGAAACGTAATTTTACATCTCGATAAGAGTAAATAATGCAAGGATATTGTAAGAATCTTGTCACGAACAAATTGTTCGAAGGTAGAATTCATAGTTCTATTTAGAATCTAGATTCACGAGAAGTACGCACCTGACGACTTTCTCAGACGAAACCTTGTCCAGGAAGTAAAACGTTTTAGTAATTGGCAACACCTGCCGCCAGGTGTTGAGGATCTAGGTTTGTTCTATCTCCTACGAATCGTCCGAAAGTTAGCAAGACGCAAACTAAAGCAGTTGTGACGATAAGGCGATTAATTTTCCTTTGTCTGCGGTTTCGCTGGAGTCATTGGGCCATTAGTAAATTGCATTTGCAGAATACGAAATGGAGAATGCATTTCACAGGGGATTTATCAAAAAGAAGCTACAGAATACGAAATGGAGAATGCATTTCACAGGGGATATATTAAAAAGAAGCTATTTAAAACTAAAATAATTTCAAATAAAATTTATTTGTCGTATAAAAATTATAACTTGTCGAAGAATAATCTCTTACAATTAGTCGCATACGTCGTATAATAAAATTAAGGCAGATTCGAAACGAAGGTATAGGGGAGAGTTGTGCAGTACCGGCCACTCTAAGTTTTTCTACTATAACCTGGGCTAATGTTGGTAAAAAAGTAATTTGTAGTACAAAGGGTGCTTAACAAAAGGGGGCAAATGGTTTTTCTTAAATTTTCTCATAAAGATAAATAATTGGTAGAAATAAAAAAGTTGTAATTTGCAGCGAACGAAAAATTGTCGTACAGTACCGGCCAGCTACTTAGTTGGTAGATTTTAAGGTCTAAGTAATGAATAATTTAAAAATAGAATAGAGCTTTTATTTAGGCACGTCTACAAATATCACAGGTAAAGTGATCGATATTTTCTTGATCCGTACACTCCACGTGAGCCCAACCATTGCAGCTATGAAAAATAACTTTCGTCGTACGGAACACCGGCGTAAACGTGAAACGTCTTAGAACTCCGGTAATACTGAAGAAAAAAGAACGTCGCCGGAATACGTATTCATTTGTTTTTCCATCAACAGTGCAGTCAACTAACAGTATAAGGGAGATCTAGCTTTGGCCGGTACTGCACGACTCTTCCCTACTACTCGACATTGTTACGTTTCGTGCCAATCTGTATCATACTTATATCGTTCTCGTTACTTCTCGTTGTTATGGTTCGTTATTATGCAATGTCTGTTGCTCATCCGCTTCGGCGTGTTCGTTCGTTTTTCAGTTGAAAAACAGCGCCACGAGAGGACTGACAATCAATATTTTGCTGGACATTCAGCGTACTGGGACATTGGGTATGATTTATAATAAACGTTAATATGGTATCGTTATTTTGTAACACGTATTTTGATGTATTTCACTCTTTGTTTAACTCGTGTGAATACGTACCATAGGTTATCGAATATTCAAGCAATTCTGGGAAAATGGTCATATACTGGGTGTCCCAATTGTTTCCAATAAAATTTTGTCAGTGCGTTGTATGGATATGAGTGAGAAAAAAATGTCATATAAACATAGGTCGTTTGAAGCTTCGTTAAAAAGTTATGACAAACAAAAGTAACATTTAACATAACCTCACATCCGTTGCCATTTCCTTTGTACTTAAATAACCTAAGTTTATGTAACATTTTTTTCTTACTTATACTCATAAAAGATACCAACAATTTTAACGGAAAAAACTGGGACACCCTGTATCGTGTGCATATAACGCGCGATATTGACATCTTTCTAAACGGACACTTTTCAATTTTTCAAGTTCTGTTTTATTTTTCATTTCATTTTCATCCTGATGCCTGACACTTTAGTTAATGGCCGTCCAACAGAAGGGAATCAATTAATATTGTTTACAATTTTTGACGTTAGTTTCTTCACTGAGTTTACGAGTGTTTCCCCGTCAATTTCACTATCACGCGTTAATCTCGGCATAACTCATTTTCACGCTGTTCAAAACAACTGTGAGAGTGTCTACTTACCACGTGAAATTTATACCAACGAATTCATATTTTTGCACGTGGTTTTAACATTCGAACCGTTCTCTCAGGTTGCAAATATTTCCACGATTAATATTAATTTGCAAACATCGCGTCGTATGATATTCATTCGAACGATCGAATACAATTACCGGAGTGAACGGCGGTAATGAATTCGTTTTATTGCAACACGAACCGCCTCAATAAGACAGAGTTTTATTCTCACAGTCGGCGTGAAATTACCAATTAATCAGCGCTGTCTCTCTAGTATTCTGGGATAGAATTCGTTAATTATGATTTACACAACTTTAACCGACGTCAGTATGTTTATGCACGGCTGTTCATAGGTATTAGGAAACCTATTATGTTCCTATAGAAAGCATTGTATGATTTCAATTACATTTATTCGCCAAAGTTAGTATCATATACCAATAAAGATATACAGGGTGTTCATGCTGTTAGTTTCCAACGCTTTTCCACTGAAATGGTAGATTTGTAAAAAAAAAAAGAGGACAAAGTTTAATTAGTTTTTTATACACAATACGATGGCTTGAATAGAGTTTTTAAATTTTCAATCATTTTCGCGTAATGGCGATACCACAAATTTTTTTTTTTTTTTTATATCGTATGAAGTTCAGTGATCCACAACAAAACTCATTTTCAAACTCAAATCCGTGACAATGTTTGCATAATCACTGATACACTATTAGAATCTTATTTTTATGACAATAACTTAAATGGAAATAGATATTTAGATATTTGTGCTTCGAGATTCCAGATTAAATCAATCTTTTTCAGGACGTTAGTAATTTTGTAATGACTGTTTAAGTTCGCTTCACATTCAGTAAGTGTCCTAATACTTATGAACTTACGTATATGATACCTGTGCTTAAAATTAACGATAAAATTACATCCGTTTTGTTAAATTTCTTTCTGCAACAATATCGTATTATGCACATAAAGAAAGTGAAACAGCTCGATCGGTAACCTTCCAACAACATGCATTAGTAAATTTAACGTTCCAAGTTTTTTCGTGCGATTTGTATGCTTCGAAACAAATGTTTCAACACTACAGTTAACCTTATCAGGAATTTAATAATACGCTATTGCATTATAAAACAGGAAACATGAAACGTAAATCGTTAAACTTATTATCCTACCTATTTTATTTTCCCGTATTTATCCCCTTAACGATATTTCATTTTGTCTTCTCTGAAATATTTATGTTCCGAACACGTGAACTCGAAATTGAATTTCACCTCGCAAATGTCACGATTCTACAACGTACCTGAAAAAGTGAAAAATTGAAATACGTAAATTTACGATGTACTTTTAAAAATACCACTTCCATACGTTTAAAGCCACATTTTCAAAATTGAATTTCGTGACAATGCGTGATACACTGTTAAATGGAAATAGGTATTTAATCCCAGAAATTCCAGACTGACAAGGAAGTTCGTTAACCGGGAAATTAAAAAAAATTTGAAACTTTGCAAAAGTGCAATTCAAGTGACGCTAATTACGAAACCACTTTTTGTCTCGTCAATGAAACACTCCTAGGGGTGAAACATCCTCTCGAAGAAATTGGAAACAAGAATGGAAAAAGAGTTAAATTCAGAAATGCGTGATTTTTGATGCCCTACAATTGTGTTGGTAAAGAAGTTTTTAAAGAAATTAATAGTTAAATTTTGAAAAAAATGTTTTTCAAAAATACTTCGTCATCGCGATATAGGATATTAAAAACCACACAACTTTGAATTTAACTTTTCCTCCATAATTTGCACAATTTTCTAAATATTCACGATAGTACGAAAACTCACAATTTTCTCGAGGGTGTTTTCACTCTTAGAAGTGATGGTTCCATTATTAGCGTCAACTGAACTACATTTCTGCAGAGCTTCAAATTCTTTTTGAATTTTAGGTTCACCGAACTTCCTTTGTGAATCAGTTTCTTCACCACCTTAACCCTTTGCCCTCCAATGGCGCTTTTATGGCGGCACGCGTAATTACTTTGGAGAAAAGACTTTTTTCGTATTATTTTATATTATCAAAATAATGCAAATTAACATAAGAAATAGAAATAAATAAATTCGTAAACACTAAAAATTCTTTCTTTCTCAAGACGAAACTTTGGCTTTTCAGAAGTTCCGCTATTAATCTTATCAAAAAATGCTTAGACTGCAATTTTGTAATGCATTGTAATGACAAGTGCCCTAACACTGATGAGCTGGAGTGTGCGCTTATTTTAGACTTCTATCGTTTGTCGCCGAATGTCACCTACTCTCCAAAATATAAAATGGTATTCCACAGTGAAATACACGCCGTGTCTGTACTTTATTTCTCCCTGATCGTTCATGCGAATTAACTTCACGTTCAGTTCGTATAAAATCAGCAACATTCGACGCATGTTTCGCCAACAATCGTTTCCTCTCTTCCCTAACACGCTGCCATCTAATCGTTTCACGCCTAGTCTCTTCTCTGGCAGCCTCCTCCATATTTAATATTTCCTTCTCGCGCATCTTCCGACGAATTTCGATCAGCCGAGTCAAGTCTTCCCGATACTGCAACTGCATTCTTCGTTTGGCCTGCGCGGTAAGCCTGGCAGTTCTCTCGTCCTCCATAATCTTCCTCATAATTTCTTCCGCGAATGCCCTATCTCGTTCAACAAAGCGCAACTTACACCGTTCCGTGAAAACGATCTGCTCCTCCAAATTAGCCGCCAATTCCTCCCTCGTTCTCTTCCTCCGAACCTTCTCTTCTTCTTCTCTCACCGACAACTCGAACTTCACGTCTTCGGCTATCAACTCGTGCATCAACGTTTCCTTCTCTCGTTTCTGAATCTCTATGCTTATCAACATCTTTGCAATCTCGTCTATCACACGTTCTCGTTTCTCCAATTGTTCCTCGCGAAACTGCCGCGCCTTTATCGCCCTCTGATCGATTTCTCTCAAATACACCTCGTCCTCCAGATCCTTCTTCGCCTCGGCTTCCATGCTCTCCTGACAACGGATTAGCTTCATTTCCTCAAGGATTAAACGTTCTCGTCTGATACTATTCGCCAGTTCGTTTTTCATCTTCAGTGTCCTGGATCTTTCGCGCTGCTCCCTTATTCTATCGATTTCCGTTAGAACTTCCCTTTCCTCGCGGGCTTCCTCCATCGTCATATTCCTCTCCTCTTCTTTCCGTTTCATCTGCGCCGTCAGCTCTTTCCCGTAATCTGCCGATTTTTTCACCTTCTCCGATCTTTCGAGAAGATCATCCTCGAGGGCCGCCTGCTGTTCGAGCCGCATCAGTTTCGCCGCTTGTTGTTTCCGTATGTCCGCGATGCAACGCTCGGCCTCCCTTTCTACGAGCTGCGCTTCAAGTTCCTTCGTCATGTACGCTCTTCGCAATTCCGCTTCGAGTTCCGCGATCTCGTCGTACGATTCTCGATTCCGGCTGCTTCGTCTTAGTTGCGCGATGTAATCAGCCATTTTTGCGGTGTCCTCTTCCTCCTTTAATTTCTTGTCCATTTCTACGTTCCTTGGAAACTCTTGCTCGGTTAGAAATTTTATTTACCCGGTAATTTCAGCGCTGGCTGATCCTTTGTCGCTGAAAAGAACTGTTCACGATTCGACGTATTCCGCGTTCTTTCTTCTCAACGGCAAATTTCGACAAATTTCTTCTACCGACAGAAGAAGTCTCGCAGGTTACGGTTAAATTAAAATGAAAGAGACATTCGATGAAATTTCTTAACGGAAATATCGCGGAGCTTCTTTCGCGTGATATTTCAAGAAGCTTTCGAATTTGATTAAAAATCGTAATCATAAATTTGATTAAATCGAATTTTTCAATCACTTTTATAATTCTATCAAATTCTCGTTTTCGTTCACCGTTTCACCAGAGACACACTTCTCTCAAGATAGTCTTTCTCCGACAGATCGAATTGCGATCGGTACGACGACTATTTAACGTGCTGATCGATTTGTCATTGCTATGGCTTACGTTGCGTGATGTGTGACGGCTAGTCAATTCTGCAACAAAAAACGGTGTTGTGCTCGGTATGCAATCTGAACAGCGAAATGGTACATTTACATTTTGCAGAGAACGTGAGTAACCGTAGGTATATTTAGGATAAAATTAATGCCAGATTAACGGTACATTCAATTCTCTGTGCCTTGCGGGATTTGATTACGCTTTGGGAATCTTCGCACGGCAATTTGGGTCAGCCCGAATTTATTCACGCAGCTGAGCTGTTCCACGTTAAATCACGGCAATTAATGCATGCACAAGCTCTCTTTGTGTGGAGGTACAAGGTAATTGGAGGGCAGACGCCTAAGGTTTTTTTCATTAAATCTGTACAATATTTGGTACCTATATTTCTGTTAAATCGACGAACTTTGTTTGTCGTCTAAATTATACACTGTGAAACGAGCGCTACTAAATTAATATTAGGTTGTCCGGAAATAAATTGCGGTTTCTGTAGACGAGATTTAAAGACGTGTAGTTTTGCTTAGAATGAATTTATTTCATCGAAATAATTTCCATTAGATTCTATACACTTTTTCCAACGTTTTGCAAGAGTTCCTATTCCGTTACAATAAAAATCGGGAGTTCTAGAATTAATAAATTCTTACAGTCAATATACGTTAAATATTAACCCTTTGCAGTCCGAATACTCCAGTTAGTCCGCACTCGTTTGGCTACTGTCGGGCAGTACCGTACAGTTTGCCTTTATTTCAATATTTCAGCGCAACATTAGTTAGAAAATATTAAATTTCAGTGTAATATTGATGCGTAAAAAATGATTTCTTATCGTTTATAATTTGTAATTTATCGTTGTATGATATCTGAAGGCAAAATTTTCTACAGGACCGCAAAGGGTTAAAGCTTGAAACAACCGTGAACACTTTGGTTGCCTACACAAGGATTAGCACTTGCTAGAAAATTTAATTCTTCAATAATCACGCGTAACATTCATCGTTTCAATGCTCATAAACAGCAAATACACAAATTACGCATGCTGCAGGTTACAAGCATACGAAATACGGTAAATTCTCCACAAGTGTCAGTCCGCAAGGAACCTAATGACACTTGTAGAGTCAGGGACTACGTTTTCGAGCCTCGCGCCCGCCTTTGTAGTATGCCGAATAAAAGATAAGTTAAAGCTTGAAACAACCGTGAACATTTTGGTTGCCTACACAAGGATTAGCACTTGCTAGAAAATTTAATTCTTCAATAATCACGCGTAACATTCATCGTTTCAATGCTCATAAACAGCAAATACACAAATTACGCATGCTGCAGGTTACAAGCATACGAAATACGGTAAATTCTCCACAAGTGTCAGTCCGCAAGGAACCTAATGACACTTGTAGAGTCAGGGACTACGTTTTCGAGCCTCGCGCCCGCCTTTGTAGTATGCCGAATAAAAGATAAGGATGAAACGTGAGTCGAGGCAACCAAGCGATTTAAATACCAACTTTTTTAATTTTACGTTTTTTTATCCCGAAATTTTTCTTAACATATTGATGAGATTTTTCTGATGAAAATGACATCAAACACGACATAATTTGAACAACATTTACTTATTAACATGTTCACTGTCACGCCAGATATTTCACTGTACTGAGATAAAACAGACGTTTGACTGCCATTTGGAGAATCGGCTTGCCGTTTGACTGACACTTGTAGAATCGGCCCTACATTTCTTTTTCTTTTCTTTTTTACGTGGAGGTAGGCCGACATTAAATTAATTACTCAATAAGTATTAATAAGTAAATGTTGTTCAAATTATATCGTGTTTGATCTCATTTTCATCAGAAAAATCTCACCAACATGTTAAAAAAAATTTCAGATGAAAAAAGATAAAATTGAAGAAATTATATTTTTCTATTGTGAATTGTCGTGCCGTGAAATCTCGTAAAAGAAACCGAGTGGTGTAGCGTTACACGCTTGATTGACAGCGAGCGAGGATAACATAGGCGTAGGACCATCAATACTGACACTTGTAGAATCCAAACTGACTGACACTTGTAGAGAATTTACTGTACACGGAAAGCAGGATTGTTACTGATAAATTGTCACATAGTGGCAGGAGAAAGCTAGATAACGAGTGTCCAACGGTTTATTCGATTTTTTGTTGTTGCGAGTTATGGTCGTAAGTTTGCTACCACCGTTCTGTTCAAGCATCGCCCGTTATCCTTGGTGTTATTTTTGCTTACATTTTTAATACTCGTGTCTGTATTTTTAGTAATTTTACATAATACAATGCACGCTTGCGTTTGCGCACACGCAATATGTATTAAATACGCGAATTGTGCATTTTGTATAGTGTATTACACATACACTACCGGCCTGTAGCGTGTAACTAGTGCGCGCCAATAGAGAGTAAGTCACACCTAGACCCGCGCCAGTAGAAAATAATATTAACACGCACCAATAGGGTGCGAGCGTAATGAGCAAATTAGGCGTGTACCGATAGGGCACTCTCCACGGTCCGCGCACAGGAAAAGGGCGTATATAAGGACGCCCGAAAAAGGACAAAACAGATAGTCCGGGACAGCGAACTGGAGGAAACCCTGTACTCGAGTCAACTAGACATTTACCAGCGAACTCTGTATCGACAAAATAAATCTTGTTCAACACAACATTGCACGCTTACGATTGATGTGTGGTTTGAGGAGCAACGAACCCACAGGCCAAACGTTTGGAATTACTGTGCATTGCAAGTTGCACAAAAACTCCCCCCAAAAAGGTAGCATTTGGAATAAATTTTTAACGAATTTTTTATCATTCAAATCAATCGAAATGAGGTAAAGTGCTATTGATCTCCACAACATGAATTTCAAATCAATAAAGAATTAGTAGCAGATTCAATGTTAATGTAAATTGGCAGGTGATTCCAAACTTTTGGACGGTAGTGTAGATAACAACGATCTATCGTAAGAATTGTGTGTTAAATAATTGATCAGGTGATCCTGAAGGTTCCCGCGGTTTTAAGCTGTTCATTTTGAAAAAAACATAACTCTACTAAAATTGAACATTTTTGTTTAAAATAATTTCCATAATGTTCGATACACTTTTGCCAAAGTATTGCAAGATTCCACTGAAAAATTCAAGATCACCTCGATATCTCGTGGACAAATAGATTAGGCCTATTATTTTTTAGGCCTGCCCGCCAAAAATATTGCAACACTCAGAAATTGGTGTCGGACAAATCTGGAAATCAAACATCCTTTTCGGGCTACTCTAAGGAATGACACTTTTTAACTACATTTTAGTCACTTTTCCCTTTCAACACCCCAAACAATATACAAAACGTTGTTCATGTGCAATTTCTTAATTAAGGACAGAAATTGCCCACTTTTTTATCATTCTATAATTTGATAATCGTATAATTTATAAAAAAATTCAAATAATTCATTATTAATTCTCATAGAAAATTCACTGCTCTTTTAAATTTCGACACAAAAAGGTACGCATTAAATTTAAAAAATTTCAAGTCACCATGACAATATCTCACGAACAAATACGTTATTTAAAAACACCATTTCAGCATATCTTCCCTCGAATACCGTGGAATTTCTATATAAAACACTTTTTTGTAGACCACAAACTTCAGAAGTTATTCAGTGTGGACATTTTATGTGACTCACCCTGTATATTCTACATACAGTCTTATCTAAAACATTCTTACAGATCTGGCGCTTGAACGCTTGCGACAATAATAAATATTATACGATTCAACGCACTGCGTTAGTTAAAGCATTTTCTCTCAGAAGATATCTCGATTGAAATTAGAAGCATACGGCTACCGTGAGATAATGATTTTGCTATCAATTGTATGTAGGTACAGTAGTGCGCGCAATAAGCGACCGCATTTTTGCACACTTAAGCGTTCATCGCCAATTCTTGGAAATGGAACATCGGAGTGGATTCGAGCGTGCCGAGTGAAACAAAGTAATTCGATATCGACCCCTGAATGTGAACAACTGACACTTGATACATCGATATCCCACTCAGGCACATCTCTCTTCTGTTTACTTACATTAGCAGAAGTCACCTTCCAACTGAAGCGTCGGTCCCAACTGCTTATGAGTGCACTACTGTATTTCAGATTTGATAGAATCAACGATGGAATTTTGAATTTGGGGAAATAATTGCGTGTAATCTATCTCCATTTATATCCTGAAAAGGTATGAGATCTAACTACCGCAATTCTCGGTTGACATTGATGTATGCGTTTTACAATTACGACTTGCTTGTTCACAGAAAACAGCTGCTCGTTCGAACGTTCTGAGATGCAACTTATATCCGTATAATCGTGTGAGGCGTCTATTGTTCGTTTTGAACAAAAGTTTGCACCGAATTTTACCAAATGCACGGATATATTTTAACACGATTAATAACCCTTTTAGTCCATTGAATGACACTTTCTTTATATGGATTGCTCGAGTATATTATTTATACTAATTAGGGTATACATCGTAACGGCATGAATACACGAGTTTCGGACCGCTTAAAATAATTT